TAGGTACAGGCATCAGCATAGGACATAGGTACAGGCATCAGCATAGGACATAGGCACAGGCATCAGCATATGATGTAGGCACATCTCTCCTATTCTTAGTCGTCACTAGGTGACTTACGAAAGACACTTGGTAGAATACTAGTGCTGTGGACAGGTAAGAGAATCTGAGTTCAAGGCCAGTCTGGTCTGTGTGGGGTTGGGGGTTGTTTTGAATATTTCTGCTCCTGGGTTGACTGAACCCATACTTGCAGTTCTGATAAGGATGCTGATAGTTCGCTATCACACTTTTTAGTTAACTCTTTTATTTGTACCAAAAGAAGAGGAAGAGGAGGAAGAAGAGAAGGCGGTTGGGAAACTTTCCGTAGTAGATACAAGTACTGTGGCAGTTAGATATGCACACAGTGTCTTCATCCAGACGTGGTGGTGCGTGCCTTTAAGCCCAGCACTCAGAGAACTCTGAGTTGGAGGCCAGTCTGGTCTATATTGTGAGTTTCAGAACGATGGTACATAGACCCTGTTTCAAAACAACACCAAAAAGGAAAAAAAAAATAAATGTCTTCAGTGGCATTTACTGTGATGATACTTTTTCTCAATTTCAAATTATTTCTGAGAACACAACTAACTTTCCATTTTACATTCATTATTTACCCCAAACGCTTATATTTTTGTTTAACTGTATCAAAGATGCTTTATTGGACTTTAAAGCATGTTTGCAGGACCTGGGCTGTAGCTCAGTAATGGAATGCAGCCTTGCGTTGTTTAGTCCTCAGTATTCCTGCCCTCCTCCCCAGATGAGTTCTTCTGTGTTACTTTAGAATTTACTGCTAGCATACGACAAGACCCCGATTTTCTGGCTGTCTGTGAGTGGAACTGAGTGGAAATACTATTTTGGCTACTGCTCTTCTTTAACATCCTTGCTTCTCCACAGTGGCTGGCTTTGAAATTCCCCAAAATTGCAATATACGTGGATACCTGCAGGGAGTGTTACGAAGCGTATGTCATTTATAACTTTATGATATTCCTTACCAACTATTTGACAATCCGATTTCCCAACTTGATGCTACACCTAGAAGCTAAAGATCAGCAAAACCACCTTCCTCTCTTATGCTGCTGTCCACCATGGGCTATGGGAGAGTAAGTATGGTTGGCTTTACAGAAGCAGGGTTGTTAAATATCAGTCGGCTCTCTGTTCCACACTGCTGTGAGCGGGGCACAAACAACAGGCAGAGCCCTTACCCTGTTTAGCATGTAGCACAGTTTGAGAGATAACAAAATACCTTTTTATAATGCACGTGTTAGGAGGTTTTTTTGTTTTTATTTTTACACTGCTCACTCAATGAAATGTTTATCAGTATATGCAGAAGAAACCCTTAGAAGATATTTATTTATCATCTTTTTTTATACTCGGGAATTGGCACCTACAGCTCTTGTATGTGATCTACTGCTAGCTACTTAAATGAAGTTGATTAGGTGGGAAGACAATATATGACAGGAAACAAAAGCAATTAAAAGCTGTGTTCTATTCCTGTGTGACAGTAAAGGAAGGTGAGTAAGCCTGTGTCACTTACTAAAAGGCTGGAGGGATGGCTCTGGGTTTAAGAGCACTTGTTGCTTTTGCAAGGACCCAGGTTAGGTAACCAGCACCTGAGTAGTGACCCTTAGCCATTCCAGCCATCCGTAACCCCAGTTCCAGGGAACCCAATGGGCACACGTCTGGAATGCACACACAGACACACACACATGCGGGCAGAGCATTCATACACAAATTAAATAAGCCTTTAAAAAAAAAAAAAGTGGGTCTGGGAGATAGCTCAGTGGTTAAGAGCATTCACTGGCTGCTCTTCCAGAGATCCTGAGTTCAACTCCCAGCAACCACATGGTGGCTCACAACCATCTATTATGGGATCTGATGCCCTCTTCTAGTGTGTCTGACAGCTACAATATACTCATATAAATAAAATAAATCTTTTAAAAATGTTTCTTTTTAAAAAGTGGGTTTTTTTTGGTTGGTTGGTTGGTTGGTTTTTCTTTTTGTATTTTCGAGGCAGTGTAACATTAGCTGTCCTGGAGTCACTCTGTAGACCAGGCTGGCTTCCAACTCCCAGTGATCCACCTACTTTTCCTCCTGAGTGCTGGGATTAAAAGTGTGGGCCACTAAAAGTTTTTTTTTTTTTTTTTTTTTTTTCTTTTTGGTTTTTCGAGACAGGGTTTCTCTGTATAGTACTGGCTGTCCTGGAACTCACTCTGTAGACCAGGCTGGCCTCGAACTCAGAAATCCGCCTGTCTCTGCCTCCCAAGTGCTAGGATTAAAGGCGTGCGCCACCACTGCCCGGCCACTAAAAGTTTTTAAAACACAGTTCTTAAAGTAAAAGGTTAAGATTGTATGTTCTACACAAAGAGCTTGAGTTACTCACCTCACTGCTGTGACAAAAACTGCCAGAAGCCACTTAAGAATCCCAGGGTTAGTATTGGTTCACAGTTGAAGGGTGCACTCATCATGGTGAGAAAGGCACCTAGCAGCACATCTGCTGTCAAGCAGAGAGAGCTGAATAGTGCCGTCCACACGCAGCGTGGCCTCCCTTGTCCCGTTAACTTTCTGTAAACCCATTCACAAGGAAACTGCATCGCACACGTAAGTGCACACGCACGAGTGCACGGTTGACACAGCTGAGTGGTGCCTCAGTTTTGCTCCCGCAGCTTTGTTAGGCAGCTTCTGTCACTGGCAGAGTTCCTGCCATGATCGGCTGTATTTGGCTCACAAATTTGGATCACTTGGGCCTGTTGATTTAAGGTGATCCTGGCAGGAGTAGGAGGCGAGAAAAGACTAAGGGCCCAATGCCTTCCATCTTGTTCTGTTGCACTGTAGTGGAGCTGGGGGAGGGGGTGTCTTTCAGAGACAAAGTTATTAAATCATTTCAAATGGGCTTCAGGCTCCCTTGTTGCCATCGTCTTCTTACCCTCCTACCTTTTAGAATAAAGTTGGCAGAATTCAATACAGTTGATGTCACTTGTCACAGGGATTAGTACCCTGCTGCCAAAAAGTAGCTAAGCTACCGTGTTCTCTTGCCTTTGCAGAATTCTGCTCTTTAGGTGCAAGCTAGGAGTGCTGCAGTACACCGTGGTACGGCTCATCACCACTGCCACTGCATTGTAAGTAGGACTTGCCTTTACTGTTTTTTTCTTTTTTGTCTTCATACTAGATGCCTGGGGATATGGCTCAATTAATAGTGTTTGCCTTGTATGCACAAAGCCCTGTATTTAATCCCCAGCACCACAGAAACCAAGTTCATAGCAAATAATCGTAGCACTTGGAAGGTAGAGGCAGGAGAATTGAGAGTATAAGGCTGGTCTGGGCTGTGTCTTTAACAACCTATGCTCTTATATGGGAAAAACAAGTAGAAAAAGAGTTGATTAACAGTGAAAGTCTGGTCTGCTATAAAACCACGTGTTTAAGAGCTGGATTCCATTATGGTGAACAGTGCAAAAAATTGTAAGATTCATACCCATTGAGAGCATGTTGGCCGGGCAGTGGTGGCGCACACCTTTGATCCCAGCACTTAGGAGGCAGAGGCAGGTAGATTTCTGAGTTCAAGGCCAGCCTGGTCTACAGGGTGAGTTCCAGGACAGCCAGGGCTACACAGAGAAACCCTGTCTTGAAAAACCAAGAGAGAGAGAGAGAGAGAGAGAGAGAGAGAGAGAGAGAGAGAGAGAGAGAATATGAGAATATGCTCCTTTGGTTGGGTTAGTCACACAGATGTATCTTCTGTGCTGTTAAGTTTATTACCACTTTAACTGTTGCACACATTTAATCCTAGCGCTCAGGAGGCGGAGGCGAGCAGATTTTAAACACACACAAAAACTGTTTGATGTCAAAATGTGAGGCTTAATCAAACCACCTGGGAATTTGTTCCCTAAAAATCCCAAAATGTCCATTTATATGATTTTCTGTTAGATCTTACATTCTGCAACTCACAAAATAAAAGAAAACAGTTCAACTCTTTATCCTCTCACTGAGGTAGAATCATTTATGGAAATAAGCTTTATTTCTTTGCTGCTTAGAAATAGGGTGAGCGTATAAGTTAATACTTGTGGTAAAATGTCCTTAGGGGAGGGGATCTGGCCCTTTAAATATTTATATCCAAGATAATTTACAGGGAAAGGGAGCTGTAGTCATGTTTATCAGTCAGGCTTTCCAGAATTAGGAAGTTATTCTCTGGCTTAATGGTTCTTAGTTTGTAATTTCTTTTGGTTAAAAGGAATAGTCATACATTTCTAGAAAAATGTTACTCCATCAGTCAGGTTTTGAACCATCTTTGACCAAAATCACGTGGTCACCCATAGGCTTTCTAAAAAACTGATTCGAAAGTTTAAGCACTGCTGCTGTCCCTTAAATCCACGCTCAACACTGGAGGGTGGGCGTGGTTAAGAGCTCTTGCAGAGGTGTGGTTCCTAGGGCCACCTGTGCTCACAGCCATCTTCGCTCCAGTATGCAATGCCCTTCTCAGGCCACAGGGCACTGCGTGCACACCCAGCACAGGTATACATGAGAACACTCATAAGTAAAACCTCAGTCTCTAAAGGATATATCGTAAGATACGAGTCTGCTCGGTTAGTCATAAAGTTGTCTGATTTTTGCCGCCTTTCAGAGTGTGTGAATTGCTTGGCGTGTACGATGAGGGGAACTTCAGTTTCTCAAATGCTTGGACCTACCTCGTTATATTAAACAATTTGTCACAACTGGTAAGTAAATGATCATCTTTTTTTTAAAGATTTATTTTTTATTTATATGAGTTCTGTAGCTGTCTTCAGATACACTAGAACAGGGCATCAGATCCCATTACAGATGGTTGTGAGCCACCATGTGGTTACTGGGAGTTGAACTCAGGACCTCTGGCAGAGCAGTCGGTGCTCTTAACCGCTGAGCCATCTCTCCAGCCCAATAATCATCTTCTTAATTGTATTAAATTAGTTTCTGTAGCTAAATATTATCAGGCACTATTTTTTTTGTTTTTTTGTTTTTTTTTTGGTTTTTTGAGACAGGGTTTCTCTGTGTAGCCCTGCCTGTCCTGGAACTCACTCTATAGACCAGGCTGGCCTCGAACTCAGAAATCCGCCTGCCTCTGCCTCCCAAGGCACTATTTCTTTAGAGAAATTTTCTTTTAATTTGTACATAGAATCTGAGGCAGCTTTAATATGTACCTTTATACAATATAAACATATAGTTTATGTTTGTGAATGATTTGGTGACTTACACAGACCTGCTGGTTGCTCGTTATTATTGCATGGCTGTGTGAGTGTGTACATTGTGTGCCTTCTAAATAAAACCTAGTAGAGACCTATTCAGTAAGAGGAAAAAGTCTTAATTGGCATATGATAGGATAGAGTTTAAATAAAAATGGAAAATTTGATGGGCGGTGGTGGCACATGCCTTTAGTCCCAGTACTTGAGAGTCAGAAGCAGGCAGATATCTGTGAGCTCAAGGCAGAGTGAGTCCCAGGACAGCCAGAGCTGCACAGAGAAACTCTGTCTCAAAACACCAGAAAAAGGAGTTTATAGTGGAAATGAGTGGGACATGTCTCCTGGGCCTTCCCTCATGGTCATCTTCATGACCATAGACCCTTTCCTAGGAATGTATAAAAAGAAATAGAAGTATTTTTGCCTTGGATGTAAAGGACATTAAAACAAACACTCTGAAGTAGGTGGACAGTTTGGTCTTCCTATTGGCATTTAGACAGTTACTAAAAGGAAACCTTATGAAACATACACAGAAGTTAGCTACTTTAATTGAAAAAGATATTGGGCCAGGTGGTGGTGGCGCACGCCTTTGATCCCAGCACTTGGGAGGCAGAGGCAAGCAGATTTCTGAGTTCGAGGCCAGCCTGGTCTACAGTGTGAGTTCCAGGACAGCCAGGGCTACACAGAGAAACCCTGTCTCGAAAAACCAAAAAAAGAAAAGAAAAGAAAAGAAAAAAAAAGAAAAAGATATTGGGCAACAAAGTTTGATTTTAATTCCTAACAGATACTGGAAAATTAGTTTATAACTTGTGGACTATCTCTGGTGGAGTATTTGCCTAGCACACACAGCTCTGAGTTTCATCTCAGAATGAGGGTAACAGTTCATAGGTACTAGAAATGGCTTCATGCTTAGAATCCCAATTACTTTTTCTGTCAGCAGTACGATAACTAGAACCCAGGCCCTCATGCATGTTGGGTGGGCACTCAGCCACTGAGCCACGCTGTAGTGCAGGAGTCTGGGTAATATGACTAATGTACTCCTCTCAAGGAGTTTGTATGAGACAGATCTCCTGGTCAGAATGTTACTGACACTGTACTTACTTAGTGTTGACTTATAATCTGCATGAGCCGGGCGATGGTGGTGACGACATCTTTAGGAGGCAGAGGCAGGCAGAGTTCTGTCCGTTTGAGACCAGCCTGGTCTACAGAGTGAGTTCCAGGACATCCAAGGTTATATAGTGAGACACTGTCTTGAAAAACCAACCAAATTAATTAATTAAATTAAATAAACTGTGTGGGTGTGCTGTGTGAATGTTATACAAGAGACTGGTAATAAAAGTGATCCAAATCTTTATAAAAGTGTGATGCTCTGTGTTTAAAGGCTTAACTGCTGTGTTTGCTTTCTTCTGGCTGAGGGGACCTTTCGTTCCTGTGCTGTTTTTTGCTTTCCTTGAGTTCCAGGGAAGACGTTACATCTCTAGAGACGTCTCATTCCTGTGCATCAGCAGCAGACACTGAAGCCTGTGTTTAATCTGAAAACATTGTCTAATTTGCAGTAAATTCTGCCCTGAACATTCTGTAGAGCAGGCGCTGGTTAGGGCTCCAGCAGTTCTGTGACTGTCTTCCTACAGCAGTATGTGGAATGTTGCTTTTGTTTCTAGTTTGCCATGTACTGCTTGCTGCTGTTTTATAAAGTCCTAAAGGAGGAGCTTAGTCCTATACAACCAGTTGGCAAGTTTCTTTGTGTGAAGTTGGTTGTCTTCGTTTCCTTTTGGTAAGTATTGCTTTCTCACAAACGTTCTTATTTCATAAATACCCGTAAATAAAACTGTTAGGAGAGTATTTGAAGATAATGTAAGTATGATGCAGGAAAAACTACAAACACAACAAGTGTTAATACAGGAGGTGAAGTAAAATGGCATTACCTACCTCTCTTAAAAGCCAGTCCTAGGCCAGGCGGTGGTGCATACACCTTTAATTTCAGCGCTTGGGAGGTAGAGGTGGCCAGATCTCTGAGTGAGAGGCCAAATTGGTCAGCATAGCAAGTTCTAGAGCAACCATGGTTATCTAGAAAAGTCCTATATCTGAATGTATGAATGATAAAATCCTAGTAATTAATACACGTATAAACACAGTTGAGTATCAGGCCGTTACTTACAAGCTGTTAGAACTTAGAATCTAATTACTTGTACATGGTTTCAAAGCAATAAAAGGATATTTAAACCAAATGATGAAGCTGTGAGAATGTGTAATGGAATTCATCTTATGAAGCTAACAGACTTAATCCACAAGGCAAGGGAGTATATTTACTATAAACACAGCTGCTTTGGGTGTGTGTCTGAAGGCAGGATAGTGTGGAGTCCTAGGGTGCACTCTGAGGCCTTACCCGGTTCTAGTTGCATATTTCCTAATCTTTTGGTGGATATGTTGTGTTTACTGTGTGATTAGGACATGTACATGCTGTCCGTGCATGTTGAGGTCAGAGGACAACTTTGGGCATTGGTCCTTGCCCTTCCTTTGCGACAGGGTTTTAGAATTGCTCCTCTGCATACCTCAGGCTTGCTGACCTGCAGTCTTCCAACCTCCCTGCTCCCATCAGGAGCACTGATGGCTTTACAGATGTGTGCTGTCCCCCTTTACCCCCCACCCCCCGGGCCAGGCTTACCGGGCTGGGATTCTCATTCAGGTCCTCCAACTCCTGCAGCAAGGGCTTTACCCATCAAGCCACCTCCCAGCGTGTCCCTGCTGCATACTTTTAAAACCGTCGGTCATTTTAGGGTTCAGATATAACATTGACCTTTCCTTAACTTACAGGCAAGCAGCACTTATTGCTTTGTTGGTTAAAGTGGGAGTTATTTCAGAAAGACGTACCTGGGAATGGCAAAGTGCAGAAGCTGTGGCCACAGGCCTACAGGTACGTAAGTACCGTCTTTGAACTCAGGGAATTTTATTGTTTGTTAAACCATTTGATGCAGTATTACCCCTGAACAACATGCAAACAGTGGGGCAAGACTATTAGCTGACTCTACAGTGCAGGAACCCTAGAGAAGTGAGCTGTAGATACTCTTAGTTATTTTCTTCCTGGTCCACTTATATCTGCATGGTACCTTTCAGTCCTTGGGTAGCATTAAGAAATAACTTGACTGAGGAAATCCAAAAGAAATGTAAATCCTGGCTTGTCAGGTTTTGAAGAAATGGGGAAAAAATGTTTTGAAAATTAATATAGTCTGGAACTTAAAAAAAAAGTTGACACCCTAAATAGCTTTTTAAGAGTTAGTAGTTTGGAAACCTTGATTTAAGCGCAGAGATGTCTGGTTTTTCTCTCTAGGATTTCATAATCTGCATCGAGATGTTCTTTGCGGCAATTGCCCATCACTACACGTTCTCCTACAAACCGTACGTGCACGAAGCGGAGAAAGGCTCCTGCTTTGACTCCTTCCTCGCCATGTGGGATGTGTCTGACCTCAAAGACGATATTTCTCAACAAGTACGGCATGTCGGTAAGTAACAGCCTGAGTGTGTATGTAAGGACCGGAGATGAAGCTCGGGTGTACTTCCTCAGGAGCTGTTCAGGTTGGGGTTTGGAGCAGAGCCTCTCACTATCCTAGAGCTCACAGATTTCAGCTAGGAGGATTGGCCAGAGAGCCCCAGAAACCACCCTTTCTCTTATTGCAAGCAACACACAAAACCATGCCTAGCTTTTTATCTGTGCTGAGGATTGAACTCTGTTGCTTCATGTTTGTGTGACCTGCACTTTACAGATTTCTCCTTGACCCAAATATGTGGATAATTCTTATTTTTCCTGCCATGGCCATTCAATAGTTAAAGAAATAAGAACATATTTAAAGTAGTACCATGATATAGGCTCTTCAGATTCAAGGAGATAAAAGGGGTCAGGGGAAGCTATTTTTAGAATCATGTGTTTAAAATGGTAAAAATAACTTTTGGTTAATAAGTTTATATTGTCTTAAAGGGAGGACAGTGCGAGGATATCCAAAAAAGAATTGTTTTCCTGGGGATCCGGACCACAATGAACATTCAAATTTGTTCTCCTCGTCATCTCAAGACAGGGCTTCTGGTTCTTCAAAGCCACCCTCACCAGTGGGCCTGTACCAAGGCTTTGGGCACACGATCAGATCACAGAGCCCAGTTTCTGAAGCCACTGTATATGAAGATATTCTGAATGACATTCCAGAAGAACAGCATAAGCTTCTTGACACAGGACAGGATGTTATGATTGACATGCCAGATGAGCAAGACATGCCTTGGAAAAGCCAATATCAAGACCAACTACAAACAGTTATTTCACAGGCTTTACTTTATTCAGCAAGGCTACCTGAAGATACCATAATTGATATCCCAGATTGGGACAAGGAGCCCTCTGATTCATCGTCAGATCTGGACTACTAAAGCTGCCATAGCCTCCTTCCATCCTCAAGATCTGTACAGTTGAAAATGTTGTAAAATCTGAAAATAGGCCAAAACTAGACATAATATACATACATATCTAACACTAATACGCACATATTAACATACATATATTTGTATAAGTTTTATATATATCACAAATGATGTTTAAATTTCCTAGGCTTTGGCTCTCTTCAACTGTTAGAATATCATATATTCAAACAGTAGGTAACAACTGTAGCAAAATGCTCTTGATTTCTTAGACGAACATTTAAAAAAAAAAAATCAATGCTTCATACCACTGCGTGAATGTAATGCTCTGGACTAAAATTGCAAATTAATTGAATTTAATTAATTCGAATCATGTATCATTTAACCTTGCAAATTATACTGTTAAAAAAAAAACAATTATACTGTATTTAAACTCTTAAAACTCTTACATGTCTTTTTTTTTTTCCCCTCGAGACAAGGTTTCTCTTGTATAGCTCTGGTTATCCTAGAACTCACTCTGTAGACCAGGCTGACCTCAAACTCATAGATCTGCCTCCCACATGCTGGGATTAAAGGTGTGCACCACCACTATCTAGTTCAGATTCTTAATATGTGGGGCAGGTAGAACAGTGTCACCAGTCAGAAAAACTGGTAAGGTCGAGCAGATTAAGGAACTCTGGCAATTCTCATGCCTGGTTCCTGTCCTGAAATACAAGACCATGACACCCCCCTAGAGGACCATGGTAACTGGTCACAAAGCATAGAGCCCAGAGTTCTCCATGCTAATGAGCTATCTTGATGGGCCGGCAGGAGGGTTTAGCCAGTAAGCTTCCCTTCCCAGACAGCTTGGACAAGCAAGGACCCTCCTGATCAAGAACCACCACCGTGAGGAGACTATGCTCCTGACACCCTGAGCTAAGCCAGAGTCCCCTGACCCTGGGCTCATTGCCAGCCCACTGGCTTCCATTCTCAACTCCTTGTGGTTCCCAGCCACTTCTCACCCCAAGAAACATGGAATGAAGCACCCATCTGAGACATTTTGCCTCCCCTGAGCAGTGTGTCAGAGAATTCCGCAAGCCCAGCACCCCATAGCAGTGAGGAACATAGCCTAGTGCCCCTGCATTTCATCTCCCAAGCAGCAGCCCAAAACCCCAGCTGAAGTGAAATGCAGAACCGCATTAATACTTTAACAAAAATTGCTTGATTAGAAATCAAACATTTTTTGAAAAATTTTCACTTAAGTTTTGCACACCTATGGTGGTTTGAATATGCTTGGCCCATGGGAAGTGGCACTAGTAGGAGGTGTGGCCTTGTTAGAGTGTGTCACTGTGGAGTCAGTGGGGGTCTTTGAGGGCTCATGTATATGCTCAAGTCTGGCCAGTGTGACAATCTCCTGCTGCCTGTAGATCAAGATGTAGAACTCTCAGCAACTCCAGTACCATCTCTGCCTGCCTGCACACTGTCGTGCTTCCTGCCATGATGATAATAGACTGAACTGAAACTGTAAGCCAGCTGGCCCCAATTAAATGTTTTCGTTTATAAGAGTTGCCTTGGTCATGGTATCTCTTTACAGCAATAAAACCCAAACTAAGACAAGTTGGTATCAGGGACTCTGGATGTAAGGGTCCAAAAATCGCTGAAGGCAGACCCCAGACTCAGATAGTAATCAAAAACAAAGCGTTTATTCTGCAGAAACAGCCAGCATTTAGGGGTTAACTATTCTTTAAAGTGGCGACCCCAGACAAAGACACACAGACCTTATAGAGAACCAGAGGAATTCTCTAGAAGGATTAGGTAATCTACAATTTCATTGGTGGGTGCTAGGGTGATCAGGTCCACATATCTATGTCATGAGCATTCAATCATGTGATGAAGTAGGACAGACCAGAACAGATGGCCCATTCTGAGATAAGACACTTCCCCATTTTTGTGGTAATACCCAGGCTGTTCTTTGGGAGGAGGTTTTATGAGCTTGTTTTGGCTTTTATGGTCTGTACTTAGAGCTGATGTCTTATGACCTTGTTTCTGGGGCTTATGGTCTATTCCTGTGTAGGACCTTGAAAGGCAGCCTGTTTTCTGTCTTGAACACAGGCTAGAAGCCCAGGAGACATCAGGTGATCCTGAGGGGCCCCAGGTGACCCTGAGTGACCACAGGTGACCCTAAGACGGCAGGCATTTTGCCACACCCCTAGACTCCAGGCTCCTGACACAAGGCCACAGCCCTCTATGGATTTGTGTTTTTCAATCACGTAGACCCCAGCCCCTCCACAGGTAGAGGACAGTCACACAGTCTCAAGACAGATCTCCATTTTAATGAGGTACCTAAAGGCCAGAAGGGCTTTGCCAATTAAGCTTTTCTCCCCAGACCCTCCTCCCTGCAAAAGGGATTTAACCTCAGGCCAGCCCTGAGAAATGAGAGTATGTTTTCTCATCTACTTTCCACCATGACAATAAACATCTTAAAACCGTGGA